CGGCGCTGGCGCTCGTCTCATAATGAAGGATGGCGCTGGGTGCTCGTCTAAGATGAGGTTTGGCGTTGGGCACTCGTCTGAAGATGAAGGACGGCGTTGGGCGCTCGTCTAAGGACGGAGTTGGGCGCTCGTCTGAAGATGAAGGACGGCGCTGGGCGCTCGTCTGAAGATGAAGGATGGCGCTGGGCGCTCGTCTGAAATGATGGACGGTGCTGGGCGCTCGTCTGAAAATGAGGGACGGCGCTGGGCGCTCGTCTAAGATGATGGACGGCGCTGGGCGCTCGTCTGAGATGAGGGACGGCGCTCGGCGCTCGTCTGAGATGAGGGACGGCGCTGGGCGCTCGTCTGAAAATGAGGGACGGCGCTGGGCGCTCGTCTAAAAATGAAGGACAGCGCTGGGCGCTCATCTGAAATGATGGACGGCGCTGGGCGCTCGTCTGAAAATGATGGACGGCATTGGGCGCTCGTCTGAGATGAGGGACGACGCTGGGCGCTCGTCTGAGATGAGGGATGGCGTTGGGCGCTCATCTGAAAGTGAGGGACGGCACTGGGCCCTCGTCTAAAAATGAAGGACGGCGCTGGGCGCTCGTCTAAAAATGAAGGACGGCGCTGGGCGCTCGTCTAAGATGAGGGACGGCGCTGGGCGCTCGTCTGAAGATGAAGGACGGCGCTGGGTGCTCGTCTGAAAATGAGGGACGGCGTTGGGCGCTCGTCTAAGATGATGGACGGCGCTGGGCGCTCGTCTGAGATGAGGGACGGCGCTCGGCGCTCGTCTGAGATGAGGGACGGCGCTCGGCGCTCATCTGAAAATGAGGGACGGCGCTGGGCGCTCGTCTAAAAATGAAGGACGGCGCTGGGCGCTCGTCCGAAATGATGGACGGTGCTGGGCGCTCGTCTGAAAATGAGGGACGGCGTTGGGCGCTCGTCTCAGATGATGGACGACGATGGGCGCTCGTCTGAGATGAGGGACGACGTTGGGCGCTCGTCTGAAAATGAGGGACGGCGTTGGGCGCTCGTCTAAAAATGAAGGACGGCGCTGGGCGCTCGTCTAAGGACGACGTTGGGCGCTCGTCTGAAGATGAGGGATATCGCTGGGTGCTCGTCTGAGATGATGGACGGCACTAGGCGCTCGTTTGAAAATGAGGGAAGGCGTTGGGCGCTCGTCTAAAAAATGAGGGACGGCGTTGGGCGCTTGTCTGACATGTATAGTATTTGTGTGATATGTACTTAGTCAAATTTTGGGGATTTTATTTTTCATTGCTCGAGGCCGGTGAGTGCACGCTCCTCGGCTTACCTCTTTTTTTTTGTTCCCTATTTCGGGGAGTGTCCTTCTTTTAGGCTTCGGGCGAAGGGGTCGATAGTCCTCCGGTCGGTTTGGACTTCGTTTATAATGTCCATGGTCTCGGGGGGTCCCGTCGCCTATTTATGACGCGGACTAGACTTTTAGTTGGTTTCCAACGGCTGCCGTTGCCCAACCCCGAATTTAGGGATTTTGTCGCCTCAGCCAGATTTCAGGCCTGTCATCCTGCGCTCTGGCGCGTGGACGACGCGGTGAACTTCCTATTTCAAGACGCAGGCCGTTTGCAGGCCCCTCGTCCTGGGGACATCGTCGGCCTTGCCTGAGCGTCTCGCTCTAAGGGGCCGATACGACGTGCTCTCTCAGCTAGGCCTGAGCCCTTTGCTGATACAAAATACAATGGAGCATACCTGAGCCCTTCGCTCTAAGGTTGCTGATACGATACATGGTATCTTCTATTTACATTTTCAAAAAATAAGCGGAATACAATAGGTGCGTTGTCCATGGCAACGGCTTTTGGGCGACGTGATTAGCGTCTCGGAGAACGAGGTGTACCATTTTCCGCTTTTAGGCATAATGACGTATGCGGCCGGTAGCGGCTCTCATTTCTAGATGTCCGAGTCCAAATAAAGGTGGCTAGGGTAGGTCGATGGACCTAAATATAATCTGAATCATCAAATAAAGATGTTCGGTAAACTAGAGCTCGGGTTCACAACTTTGGGGATGTTTTGACCCGCTCTAATGGCGGTGCTAAAAATAATAATGCCAATAATAATAATGCATCATTAGCGACCTCGGGAAATTTTAATCCGCCATAATGGTCTTCACCACCTCGGAGGTTTTTAACCCGCCATAATGGTGGTGGAAATAATATAATTAATAATAGTGATAATTATACTACCATTATTTAATAAATATTGTAAGGGTATAAATAGGAGTATTGGGCACTTAGCTTTTTTATTTGGACTGAAAATGGATAAATTGTTGATAATGGAGCCCATCACAGTTGGACAGCTCATTAACTTTGGCTTGAACCAAGTCCTGGCCCGATAGAACTCAAGCCCTCCATCTTCACTCATTCGTCTTGGTGGAGCTTCACCACTAGAATGGGGCCGCCTCAGAGCCGGAGGTCACGAGGCTGAGCAGTCGCATCAGACATCTCTACTGCTGGGTGAGAGGCGCCGCCGGTGGACGTCCCTGCTTCCGTGCGTAGCTTCTCCGGCGAATCCCTTAAGGCCAGTTCGAGATTTGGCCTTCCTTGTTATTTCTCGAAGGCAACAGCTGCAGAGTCAACTCAGCCGCGCCGCACGCCAGATTGCAGACATCTAGTTCTGGCCAAGGAGTAGTCGATGATGACCATCGGCCGCAACGATCCTTCTCTGACCTTTGAACCATCATTAATGGCGGATATTCGTGGTTTTGAGCTTAACAACCGGAGAAATGACTGAGAAGATGGTGACCGGAGCTGGCGACCGGAGCTGTGCGAGCGGCGCTGCCATGGGGGCGACAGAACTCGTGTTTGGGGTCGCTCATGGTGCATCACCCCCCAAGTCCTCGTTCCAGTCACGAGCCCTCAACGTCCTTCTTCCTCACTTTCCAGAAGCTGGGCGGGGGTCGGATTCTGGCAATTCCAGATCTGATTTTTTTTGTGTTCTTGAATCTTGCAGAATGATTTTTTTCAAGATTTGCTGCGTTTGAGATTTTTTGATATTTTTGGGAGGATCTCTCACTTGATTTTGCTCTAATCTCTCAATGAAAGCACCATCGATGGATTATAGGGATCCAAACTATATAATAAATGGAAAGATTTGAGCTCAAGAATGTGGAGAAGATGAATGAATAGTGGTATATGAATGAATTGTGAAATTAGAGTTGTGATCTTAGAGTTAGGTATACAAGAGCTCCCTATGGGAGTATAAATAGAGAAACGATGGGTCGGGCCGTTAATATGAACTCTACAATAATACAAATGATATAAATGACGTGTATGACCGCTGTCCAGGCCCAATAATCGTGAAACCCGGGGATCCGAGTCTATATACTCCATCACTTTATTTATAAGGTAAATAATTACAAGGAAAGAATCATATGCACATCAATCAATAATTAATTCCTACTTTGATACAATCTGTATAATAAATACTAAAATCGGGAAGGAAATCATATCAAATCTCAACTGCTTGGAATACAATGATCTCTAGGTTCGTGTCATCCGGATTTTACTTGGATGCCCTTGACATCTATAGTGACATGAATGTGGTGGGAAGTATAAAACCCGATGCAATCACGTTCACTAGTGTATTAGTGGCTTGTTCACAATTGACAACCTTAGAGAAAGGGAGAGAGGTTCATGATAGTATAGTTGATCATAAGTTAGATTCAAATGAAATAGTAATGGGAGCACTACTGGACATGTATGCCAAATGTGGTGCTACTAATGATGCTTTTGAAGTGTTCTCCCATCTTCCCCGGAGAGATATTGTCTCATGGACCTCTATGGTTGTGGCTTACGGGTCCCACGGTCGAGCACTTGAAGCTTTAACCTCTTCCATGAAATGCTCCAACTGTCCGATGTTAAACCGGACAAGGTCACATTTCTTGCGGTCATTTCAACTTGTAGCCACGCGGGGTTTGTTGATGAGGGTTGTCATTATTTCAATTTAATGATTAATTTGTATGGAATCAAACCCGGAATTAAGGACTACTCTTGTCTCCTATATCTTCTAGGACGTTCCGGAAGATTAAGTGAAGTATATGGAGTTCTTCAGAGACACTCTTCCATGAGAGAAGACGTTTCGTTGTTAAGTACATTGTTTTCTGCTTGCTATATGCACAAGGAAGAAGAAGGTATCGGGGAGGAAGTTGCAGAACTTCTAATCCAGAAAGGTTATAATGATCCATCAACTTATGTGGTTCTGGCAAACATGTTTGCAAGTAGAAAGGAATGGAGCAAAGTGATGAATATTAGAATGAAGATGAAAGAACTTGGGTTGAGGAAGAACCCTGGTTGTAGCTGGATTGAAGTTGACAAGAGAATGCATACCTTCTTTGCTGATGACCAATCATTACCAGCTGCCGAAATGGTATACCAATGTCTGAACACAATAAGCAACCATATTGACACATCTGAAATTATTGTGATTTGGGACATGTGGAATTGCCACCAAGACATGGTGAATCTTTGAAAAGTACACAGAGTGTGAAGGTAACACAAAAACTATGTTGCAAATGTTGCTTTTTAAACATTTTACAGGCGGTGCATAATAAATGTTGATAAATCATAATAATAAAAATGTTGATCACTCTGAGGCTTTTGATAGAAATGTTGATTACGTCATTATGGTTATAAATCATAATAGTTTTAGCAGGAACATATGTCCTTTTTCGTGGTGATACTTCATGAACAATAATCATGATAGAGCTATTGATTTGCCAGCTCTAGATGGCAAGTAATCTTGAATGTCTGCGAGCTTACATACAATTTGATAAATAGTAAGTCTCAACTTAATGCGATCAAATGTATGTCCGATCATCCGATGTAAATTTATATGCTAAAAACTTATTTGATTGTACGTCTTACTAAAGTTTAAACTAACACTTAGCATCTCCTAAATAACTGAAAATTTTGTTGATTGGTAATTTGTGAGAGAGTGTGTGTGTAAATATATACCTCTATTTCCTGATTATATTCTCAACTTTTGGTCCGGTTAGTCAAGTTGGCTGCTTCATATATTTATAGTAATGTTGTTCCCTAGATAGGTGTAAAATAATTTGGTGAGAATAAACGAGAGTTTTTTCCCTTATGAAAGTAAATGTACACCTCCAAGCAGGAGGTGTTTTACCATTTACCACTACACCACAGTGACTCCACAGGAACAAGTGCTTCTCATAGTGCAGGGAGAATGTAATATTGCATGAGCGTAGTAAGGAAGATGAAGAAACAAATATACAACACACTTGAGTTAAATTCTAGATGGAATCATGGGAGTGGTGCTCTGCAGGTAAGAAGAAGCTGCTGCTACTCCACTGCCAAGATTCACTGGGTAACCAACATCCTTTAGTACCATCTCCACTCCAGCAAGACACCCCAGTAACTGCAACTGCGGAAAGTGCAACAACATTGAGCATATTCAACTCGTGTAAGTGTATGGGTCTGTTTGGATAGATATTTTTGGAGGAGATGGACTTTGGAGGGCATAGTCTATATTTGATGCTCTATGTCCCTTAAAGAACTTTATATTTGGACTCTCACAGTCCCCTGTTTATATCTTTGACCATTATTCTTTAGAGATACGTACCACTGAAAACTATAACAACTTATTACTTAAATAGTACTCCCTCCGTCCTGCTAAGATTGTCCCATTTTATCTTTTCATTCTTACTTTACTCTTACTTTATCAAATTAATATCAACCACATGAACAACTTTTTATTGATTTGCATCCTACTCTCTCCTGTCCCATTGTTAGTGGGACGGGGGAGTATAATTTATATTATTATACACAATGTTCAAGTGCAGTTGCGGTACAAGAACTGAAGAACACAAATACACAATGTTCAAGTGCAGTTGTATTGTACATTTATGTGTGTATGTATATATGCACCACAGGCGTGTGCGGACACACACAAATACACACACACACACATGTGTGTGTAGTACACATTTTTATATGTTTAGTTAACATTTCAGTAATGCATGATACTCTGTATTATTTGATTTAGTTGTATATTTTTATGGTTTTGAGTGAAAAGAGATATTGTTAATATTTAAGCAATTGAACCCAAAATAAGTTGCAACAAATTTTGAAGTATTCCCAAAGTTGCCAAAATTTATGCGGAATGCACAATTCCCCCAACTCCTTTTATCTTTTGTGATAAAGTGACTAAACTCATAAAGAGCAACAAGAAACTTTCATTGATCAATTTAGAAGAAATACTGGATCCTTATATTTCGTTAAAGCAATGTGGCGGTATATGGGTACATGTGTTTCCTTATAAACTTGTTAATGTTATAATGTACTACATGCAAAAACATATATGGGTCTTGCCTCTTATTAATCTCATATTTATGACAATGCAATTTCCCGTGATACATAAATAGGCCTTAATAGGGTATTCCTAGGCCTTCATAAATATAAAAGAAATTGCGGGAAACTATCAAATAAGCCCTCGAACTTTCATAAAAAGTGCAAATAAGCCCTTTTACAGGAGACTTTGTCCGGCTGTCGCCATTTGGGGTGGTTTCCGATGGAATATTTTGATGCAATTTTTTGAGCATCTTCTTCATTAAGCCTAGTTTACCCATACCAAATCTCAGCTAAAAATTCAATCGAGAAAGCAGTCAAATGATTTTCTGAAGTATACTGCGCTGCCTAACTGCGCAATTATCTTCAAAAATTCATTTGACTGTCTTCCCGATTGAATTTTTAGCTGAAATTTGGTATGAGTAAACTAGACTTAATGAAGAAAATGCTAAAAAAAAATCATCAAAAAATTCTACCGAAAACCGTCTCAAATGGCGGCGGACGGACAAAGCCTCCTATAAAAGGGCTTATTTGCACTTTTTATGAAAGTTCGAGGGCTTATTTGGTAATTCTCCCAAGAAATCTCTAAAGTGAGATTTAATACACCAAACTCTTTCATGAAATATAAATTTGGCATATTAGTCCATGTGAATTAAAAAATACGTCAAGCCCCCCGTGTAATAGTTATTCATGCGCAAATTCCCTTCTATGAAAAAAATTTGATTGCCAAATAAATGAAAATTAATTAGTATTTTTTGCTACAAACACTAAAAGCCAATTGAACCACTCAATTCTATCATAATCAAAATAAGTAAGGTTGAATTACTTTTCTAGCTCTGGGGGACAATTTTAGCTATTTTTCCATATAAATTATTCTTTATTTTATTAATATCCTACGTATCTTTTAAATATAATCTTTTCATGATTCAACAGATTCAACCAATTCAGTCAGGACTTCATTAATTTCAACAAATTTAGTCAATTCAACTAATTTCAGTGTCACCAAAAGGCTCTAAGAATTGTAATAATCACGCAATTCAAAAGTTATACTATATTTGATCTTTAATATAACATGTTGAATTTTATATTATTCACATATTCCACTTTGACTACGTTTTATTTATTAGTGTATTAAACGATTATTATGCTTTGATTTTTTTTTGAGAAAGTTTTCTAACCTATTATACTATCTGTTCAATGTTAAGACCAACATCTTTGAACCGAGATGGGATTCGAACCTGTGACCTCCTCCTTGGGAGTGCCACAGTGATGCAATCAAACAGACCACAAGGTACTTGGCGTTTTGAAAATATTGTTAAATTCGTCACATCGTAAATTTAAAAAAAAATGATTTTTTAATTGTTTCGCTAATAGAGAAGTAAAGATCTAAGGCATGCATTGACAAACGTTATAAAAGGTGTTGCGCTTCGTGGAGAACTACCTGAGGTGAATGAGAAAGTCTAGGTGTACCCTATTTTGTGTACCCATTCGCACACATTGTCTGTCTACGCAAACAGAGTTGTTTGTATATAGACAATTCTATTCGAAACAACAAAGTTGTCTGTATACAAACAACTCTGTCTGTGTAGACAGACAATGTGTGCGAATGGTGTACACAAAACGATCAACGGTCTAAATGATCAACTATTAGCAGACACTCATGACTTTTATATATTCCTATATGTCCAACCAGAGCTCTACAGATGCCGGAAAATAAATATAGGTATACATACCTCTCGTTTGCCGAGAGAGAGTGGCAGTACGGCAGTACCTGCTCCCCCAATAGAGTTTCATTCGTAGTATTATAATACTTACTCCATAGAATTTTGTGAAGTTCTCCGTATTGAAGATCAGAGTTAATGAGCTTCTCGAAAAGTCATCAAACTGATTTTTTTAAGGGATGCAGACTCAGAAGACATAACATGTGAATCGCCTTTTATTCATTTTAAGAAAGATTATATTTATCATGATATAGACTTAAGTCATCTAAATCATTCTCCTCCAAAACCCTTCATCCAAACAAAACCTGTCATTTGACTAGTCATAATTGGTATCAATTACCTTTGAATTTTGATATTCAGGTGAAATTTGACAGGAATACTAGCTTGTACCAAAATTCCAAAGTAGTGCTCAATTACCTCATTCAAATGACCAAGATGCCCTATTCTAAAGACCTTTCCAGCAACTTTGTTGAGTCCTAGACCTAAGCTTAGGTTGTATCGTTTCCATGCCCTTTTGATGATTTCTGTAGTATCAATAGTTGAAGGAACAATTACAGCGGTGACTGTGTCACTGAACCATTCTTCCTTCTGGGAGCAGTTCTTCAAGCCCCAAGCCTTCACTGCCAACCTGCATGCATGGACATAGATCGATTTAATTCCACTTTTGGTTCTACGAATTGTATGTCATTTCCACACTTTGTATACGTCTTTCACTTTGTTCACTTTTGGTACTTGACTAATGTTTCTTGACCATTTCTGGTTCTTCTCCGATGATTTTGACACCAGAAATATTGTCGGAAGGACTATATATGGGCAAAAACACAATAGTCATTACCAAAAGTGGTCAAAGACATGAACCAAATGTGCAATTGGTGCGATACTCGTAGGACCAAAAGTGAAATTTATTCGCCATAGATCCATAGGGTGTTGGATTGTTATTTACAGCTCAAATGGAGATTGGAGATGATGTATAATTAATCTTTAGGGTCTTTTGAAACCAATGAAAATGATATGAAAAGAAATCATTGGGGAATTTGGAAGGAAAGAAAATGTGGAGGAAAACAAAACATTGATTCAAACTCATTTTATTTACATGGTTCTATTATATAAAGAATAAGAGATCTAAATATAAATATATGTCGTCAAAAAACTCATCTAAGTATATGTAATGAAAAGGTTTTGAATTATTCCTTTGCCTTCTCCAAAGTAAAATCAAACATAACAAATCATTTTCCTTAGCATTTGTCCCTTCTCTCCTACCATTTTCCTGTTCCCAGCTAGATTTAAACTAAAGCAATCTGCAGGATTTATTACAGCCTGTTTGGATCTCCTTCCAGACAGGCTCTAAATCCCTTTTAGTAGGTCAAAAGGGCTGGTACTTTGAAAAGTGATGTTTGAGTGAGTTTCATAAAAACGTTTTTAAAAGTCAACGCATACTCAAGTACTTTTGAAAGAAGCATTTGATAAATGTTTCTTTTGGACATTCCATTTAACAGCAGCACTTGTAACTGCATTGCCAAACAATATACTGTTTTTAGTTCATAGAACTGCTTTTAGTAGAATCAATTTCATCCAGAGCACTATTCCTTAAAACCTCGGTTAACAAAAGCACAAACAAGCAAGGCCTTGGAAACTTTGGGCAACGGAAACAGTACCTAGTTGCGGTAGCCAGGCGTTTGTGCCTTGCTATCACATTGTCAAGTCCTTCCTCAAAGATAAGGTCTAGAGCTGCTCTCAGCCCATAAAGAAGTTGAACGGAAGGAGTATATGGCCAATAAGTCCCTAACTTGTAGAACTTCAAGTAGTCCTTCCAGTCAAAGAAAACTTTGACCGACTTTGCAGTTTTGGAGGCCTCAAGAGCCTTAGGGCTAGCACAGACAATTCCTATCCCAGTAGGAAGTGACAGAGCTTTCTGTGACCCAGTTAATGCCACATCAACACCCCATTCATCCATCCGGAAATCAATTGCACAAACGGAGGACACGCCATCCACAAGAAGGAGAGCTGGATGGTGATAGTGATCTGAGCAGGCACAGACAGGATTTAATGTTCACAGAACTCTTAGGTCTTGTTTGGAATGATTTGGTGGTTGGAATTAATTAAATTAATCAATATAAAAATTAGAGAAAACAATTGGTTTATCAATTCAGGATATGAAAAGTATAAAATTCAAATACTCCCTATGTATGAGTGGAATTATCAATCCCGGGCTTAAAAGTTATGAGTTCCAATTCTTTTTATGAGTTGTTTAAATTATTATTGGTACATTCTTTATTAGATACAAAATAAAGTCCATGAAGATTTTCTCATCGAAAATTAGCATAAAAACAACTTAAAATAGTAAAAGGTCCATAACTCATGAGCTTTCTTAGTCTTAGATGGATTGTATTATCATTCAACTCCTAAATTAGTACTACCTCCGTCCCGTTCAAATGTTCTCATTGCAAAATGGCACGGTTATTTAGACAATAGTTGAATTTGCTAATTCAAGTATATTTTGAGAAATAGTTTGATGAGTATATAATGTAATGGGTTATTGATGGTAACTGTGATGTTATAGATGTATTATTTCTAATATTTGATGATTAAATTGTTATTTAAGAGTCTTAATTGTTTTCTGAAAAAAGAACTTTTAGCTAGGACATCTGAAAAAGGAAAGTGAGAACCTTTGAATGGGACAGAGGGAGTAGTTTTGATCTTTCAGGTCCTTAATCCATAAGACTGCGATAAAACTGCCTTTGTAAGGACCACAATTCACTTATTCCCATGGCAATATGAAGGGTTTGTAATTCTTGCAATTTTAGGGATTGTGGATTCCCAAGAATCTCCTAACTCCCAACTTTTCCGATCCCAAACACATTTATTAGGGAAAAAACACCCTTATTCTTGGGAATAAGAAGTCATCCAAACAAGTACATAACAAAAACATTCAAACCTTATTCTCAAAAGATTTTGGGGCCAGCTAACATGAATAGATCCATGATACCAGAGCCAAAAAGAGAAGAACGATAAGAAAAATAAAAAGATAAGTTATGATAAAATAGATAAAATAAAGATAAATATAAAATAAAAATAACATAAAAACATAAGAAAGATAAAAGATAAAAAGATAAAAGTACATAAGAAAGAGAGAAAATAGTTCAATCGTCCACACGAGTATGCGCTCTCCATTTTGCTCTATCCAAAGTCATACTCTCATCCAACCCAAGAAGAAGCATATCAGTTCTGATTCTTCCAATCCAAGTCTGTTTTGGTCTTCCTCTCCCTCTCCTCCCCGCCTCTTCTCCCCACATCCAAACAAGTCATTAGGAAAATAACATTGCACTTTGTTCATATGTCGTTAAGCAATTAGTTGGTTATTCAATCTTGCTCTTATGTATGTTGGATGCTTACCAAGCAATTTTCGAACCATAGCCAAGTTGTTTGTAACTCCGGTTGTAGTCTCATTGTGTACAATGCAAACAGCCTTGATGGAATGTGCTGTATCTGCAGCCATCTTTGATCCCAAAATATCAAGATTTGCCCCCTGTCCCCATTCACTCTCGACCACATCGACATTGAAATTGAGACGCTGCTGCTGATCAATCCACAACAAACTGAACTGCCCGATGAGGAAAGACACAATCCGATCACCAGGAGACAGAGTGTTTGTAAGTGCACTTTCCCAAGCTCCAGTCCCTATTTTTTGTATATTTCATTACTCATTGTAATAAAAACCAAATGCAACTATCTAGTGTACCGGTGCCCACTTTTCATCATGATATGACCTAATTCATTTTTCATTTCCTCAACTGCTAGATTGTGTTTGGAACTCAGAGCTCGTAGGGATATACAATTATGTGGGAAATATAGGGGAATTTTGGAAGGAAATAATACGTGAGAGAAAATATATAGGGGCAATAAGCGACAGGAAAAATCTGTGTTAGTATTTGGTGATACTTATTTTACTTATTTATGTCTATTATATGAACACTAAGGAATCTGATTGTATGTAAAGAAAAATGCATCTATCTCTTTTTTTGTGTTCATTCTTTCCACTTTTTACATCTCAAAAGTATCTTCACTTTCCTCTTATGGAAAGGAATCTATGGTTGATATTGTTTTTCTAGGTAAGTAAATTCCCTTTCTTAAAATTTGTGCCAAGTCAAGATATGAAAAAGAGCCAGAGGGATAAAAAGTAATCACATCTCATTTTTATTTACATTTTCTCTAGATCCCTTAGGTACCATGTCTATCCCAAGCTAGGATAAAGCGGAGAATGTTGTGGTAGGCGCATGATGGGCAATATTATAACTTAGTCACATCACATGACATGAATCGAAATATGAATAATGCTAACTCAAATTTCATATGTTGATTCATGTTAGCCGACCCCAAACTCTTTTGGGATTAAGGCTTGGATGTTGTTGTTTCTCTCGATCCCAACATAATCTTAGCCTTTGTTTAGTTTAGTGAAAAATATAGAAGAGGAATGAAGAAGAGATGGGTAGGAATTGAGAAAAATTCATCTATTTCTCTCCATGAGGGGGAAGAAAAAAAATGGTGCTAAAAATCTCTCTCATATTACCTCCAACTTTCTAGTAACCAAACCAGTGAAACTATATACATTTCTCTCTTTCTTTCTCTCCCATTAATTTTCTCAGTTTTTTCAACCAAACCAAGGTTTAGTAATGTCATTATATATACAGCATTGGGTACCTGTAGTTGGGATCAGGAATGGAGTCCCACTGGTAGTCTTAAAAATCTTTTTCACATCTTGGAGTAGAGTCTTTGTCAGTGCAGGAATGGCAGACGAGCGATAGTCCTCATTGTTTCTGTTCATTGCACGGATAACTTGTTCCGGGATATTGACAGGTCCTGGAACAAAAAGATGGTTCCTTCCTGGCCCATTCATGTAGTCCATTGTCTCCCCTTTGGAACTCCCTCACACAGCTTTTAGTAATATTAATGCTCTAGATTCCTCCAACCCTGACAACAGTAGGTTTCCAAACTCCAATTATCACCATAGTCCTGAAGTTCCTCTTTAGAATGTTGCAACAGGAATGATACAAACCTTCTTTGCTACTACTATGTTCTTTCTGTATATTTTATAGTGTTCATAAATTTTAGAGCCCAGCTAGTAAAGGTCATTTGGTTGAATTGAATTAAATGATTTGATTTACTGGATTTTATGGAAGGAAGAACTTTTTGTGTAGTCCATTTCATCCAAATAAGTAATTCAAAGCAGGGGCGGAACAAGACCAATATTTGAGGGGGGGTTAAGAAATTTATCAAAAGTCAAAATACTAAAATTGTAAAAAAGTATGAGAAATATATAATACTTCATCCGCATTTTTAAGATTGCTACATATGGTTTTGGTACATTATTTAAGGAGGAAAATAGCAAGGGTAATGATAGCATAGAAAAAGTATGAGAGAAATTGTAAAAATACGAAAGGAAAGATAAAAAGTAAAAAACTAAGGGTTATTGAGTATTTTTAAGGGGAAAACTTACTAAAAGAGAAAGTGTAGCAAACTTTTAAAGACATTGGAAAAGAAAAATGTAGCAAACTTTAAAATACGGGGAGAATATGTGAAAATGCATATATTAGACAACTATTAATTGTTAGAAGAATAACAAGTCGAGACAGTGGGTAACCTAACAAATACTCCCTCAGTCCCAAATTGTAAGATACATTTACTATTCACTTGGTAAACATAAATCACTCTTAATCTTTTACTTTATATATCAAAAGTTTATGAAATTTGAATTATTTTTTGCAGGTTTTGTAGCGGTTTTAATGTAGTTTCTGAATATGTAAATTTTATTTCCTAAAACTAATTTGAGTGTTGACAGAGATCAATTTGCTGTATCGTCGGTCAAACATTGTAAACCGTAAAGTATCTTACAATTTGGGACGGAGGGAGTATTAAAATTATAAAAATCATAAATCATACGGAGTATTATGTAATGTACTATAAGTTACTCTATTAGTCTTTTATATTTAGTTAAGTTATTTACACAAGTAATAATATATCCCTACTCTAGTTAAAGATTATTAAAATTCTGATACTTTAAAGCATGAAAAGTAAATAATTAAAATGATAAAAATCAGCCTAATACAGTAAACTAATCACAAGCTAAACTACATAATTCAGAAAAAAAAACAAAGCATACTACATTGACTACAGTACACGTTGTCTCAATTCCACAATTCCACAATTAATAAAATGACAGCAAGTGGAACAAATATATACTCCCTCCGTCCCGTAAAGAAGTTCCTAGTTTGACCTACACACATATTTATGTAAGGTAGAGTTTTGTTTTGACTTTCCAAGTATACCCTTACTTTATGTCAAATCAAACAAAAAGTGAGTAAAAAGTAAGGGTAGTTGTGACTTTTTGATTAAAAGTGGTTTCCTTTTATAGAAATGAGAACTTCTTTTTGGGACATCCATAAAAGGAAAGTGAGAACTTCTTTGCGGAACGGAGGTAGTAATAAACTAGACTAAGGATCAGCGGATGAGCAGAACTTCACACAATGCGGCTTTGCCTTTCCTCGACGGCAGATGCCGCAGGCCTAAATGCCCAAATCACCCAATGTTCTAATCGTCTGTTCACTCCCTTACGAGTTTTGCATGCAGTTTCAGGTTTCAATATTCAGCATTTCGGCCTTTGACCTAATCATTGCCATCTATTACGTGACGTCGTTTTTTTTAATACTTAAGTACTTAACCAAACGGCGGCGTTTGGGTTAAGTGAAAAAAAACTCCGAAGTTGCCGATTGCCCAACTCCAGCACATGGTCGACGGAAAGCCGAAGGGACAGCGAAGAAGAAGACTATGGGCGCTGTAGATATAATATGTATATATACCCTAACATTTCCGGTGAGGGGGGGCAGCACCAGCTTGACCCCCCCTAGTCCCGCGCCTGATTCAAAGGCTACATTAATACTTATCCAAATTATTTTTTCTTATTCAGCTGATATAAGTAGAATAAGCCAACTAATAAACTTTAACATTAGGTAATGACGATCAATCCTCCAATATGCCTTATTGGTGATCATTTTGTACGACATGTGCTTCATATATATCGTTTTATGTCTTAATTAGCAATAATTATAAAGAAACGATGGCATCTACTTCCAAAGCCAACATAAGAAGCTATAACATAAATGATCTGGTTTAACTCTTTCAAACACTTGTAGTAGATATATAAATATATGAAGGATTTCCATGATAATTATCACATAATAGTTCCAAAAAGTGAATTAGATAGCTAGGACAAAGGACTAACTTCTCACTTTGGTGTGACTTTCTGAAGAAATTTTACTTCAATTTGAAATGAAACAAAACAAACCTTCCAGTTGAAAAGAAACATCTTGAGCCTAAACAGCAATTAGAGACTAAAAACAGGAAAAGCTTACAAAAAACAAAGTTTCAGCTAATATTTCAATTATTGATTCGGCAGGCATAAATGATCTTCACTATGGTCATCCGGAAACAGTCTCTCTGTGCTTTAGTACAGGGGTAAGACTGCGTACATCCGACCCCCCCTTACCCCACCGTAGGTGGGAGCCTTTGCGGCACTGGGGTAAATGAAAATGATGATGATTGATTCGGCAGGCACACCAAACACGGCGAGCAGGATACTGCAGGACTCTCAGGATAGAGAAAGAAGCTGCTCTATAACTCCTTTCAGAGCTGTTAGGAGATGCCTACGCCCAATTCTCATCGCTATATTGATAATTCAGTTGGATAACATGTGGCAATTACAGTATAAGATGTGTTAAAAAACCAAGTCAGATTTTCTATAAGAAGAAACATTCACATTCTATAAGAAGTTTTCACTTTCCTGATGTCCCAAAAACGAAAAAACAAAGTCAGGCCTATTCTTAATTTTTATCCATTTTTTTGCTTGATTTGACATAAAGTAAGAGTATACTTGAAAAATCAAAAAAAAATCAACCTTATATAAATACTCCCTCCGTCCCCAATTAAGTTCCCACTTTCCTTTTTGGGCAGCCCTACAATTAAATTCACACTTCTCTACAAAGTGGTGAAATGTACTCTCAACAACATTGTATATTTCACCCCTCAAAAGGAACACATTTACAGCATTTTGGACCATTGAGGAGTGACATTTACAATCTCAGAAATACAGGTCCATCCAAACAGTCCCAAACAGTGTCCAAACTCCAATCAGTGCCCAAACAGTACAATTTAAGCTCATTACATTTATTTTCTTAATATGTGTGAAATTCATCCCGTAACTTAATTGCGGGACGGAGGTAGTATGTGTATAGGTCAAACACGGAAGGAGTATTTAAAATATATACTTCGTACATGACAAACATTGTAGACAAAAACACCTCTTCAAAAGCAGAAGAATATGACCAAACAAAGGATCAGAGGATCCATATAGTCCAAACTCTATTTTTAAATTTGAGTAAAATTCAAGTAAGTGAAGTAACTAACAGCGCAACAACCAAAAACCTAGAAACTGTACATTCAAAAACAAATACGTCAATTTCGAAAACCAGTTTCAAGAGGTTTGAGCATAAACCCTGAATTTTGAATGGATGGAGCGTCCTACCTCGTCCATTCTCCCAGTCTACGGCACCATATCTTGTTTGGGTGGTTCCACCATATCTTGAATGAATGGATGGAGGTAGGAAATATTATAACGAAAAGTTTGGAAAAGGTCCTTATGCTTACCCCTCTTTTATACGGGTACGTGTAGGGGCGGGAAAATTTCGATATACCCCTCATACATATCGAAAAATACCGAATTTACCGAAATTTTCGGTATACCGAAAAGTTCGGTACGGTATGATACCATACCGGGTCAATTCGGTACGGTAAAGGTATGTATTTTTTAAATTTTTGGTATTTCGGTATATACCGAAATACCGTTAATTTTCGGTATGGTACGGTATATACCGAAATACGGATATACCGAAATTTTTAGGGCCAAACCCATTAAATGAAATTATTAAAATACCAAGGCCCAAAATTAAAATAACCCATCTTATAATACTACGGCCCTTCTCTAGTTATCTCAAGTAGAGGCCTAAATCCCTAATCAAATAAATGGGAGAATTTGAGTTTGCACCCCATGTTTTGGGTGATATTTGACTTTGCACCTCATTTTTAAAATCATTAATGTATGCACCCCATTAGCCCAAAAATTGTGAAGGAGTGGGGTGCAAAGTCAAATAATTTTATAATGAATTGGGGTGCATACATTAATGTTTTTGAAAATAGGGTGCAAACTCAAATATCACCCAAAACATGGGGTGCAAAATCAAATTTTCCCCAAATAAATCAACTTAGAGTCAAGGAGTTTCTCTTCAACGAGTGACAAAACTGTGGACTATTGAGCATTGACGATGGAGATGCGGACGAGTGACGAAGACGCCATTGACGAAGCACGGAGTAGCGGACGACCGTCATTATTTGCTAAAGCTTAACCATCCTGGTAATATGAACAATCTGGTCTATGCTCATTCTATATTTATAAACAAATGATAAAGTATATTGATAAAATATTTATACGGCGGACGACCATCAAATTACCAAAGTAGAAAAATCTCTTATTTATACGGAGCTGCAACAATGATTCAAAGATTTGTTATTACAAACATTAGTTATCATTGATTTATGTTGGATAAATATTTTAATTTTCATTATGGATTGTGTTGAGACTTGAGATATTAGCACATAATTTTAGTATTTTCTACTTTGGATTAAATATTGTGTTTTAGTTTTGGTATCGGTTTATGTATTGATGTCGTATGCTACTTTTGACTTGTTAAAATCAGTTTTTTTGGATGTTCGGTAGGCCCCTTAAGCTAATACTTTATACGGAATTGCCAAGAAATTTATTTTTTTTGAATTTTCGGTATAAAACGGTATGGTTACATACCGTACCAAATTTTCGGTATACCAAAATTCGGTATACCGAAAGTTTCGGTATGGTAACGGTATGACATTTACCAATACCGGATTTTCGGTACGGTATGCGGTATGGCGTTGAAATTTCGGTATACCGTACCGAACCAACCCTAGGTACGTGTTTCATTCTTTATCAAAATGGTTCACGTGGTTGAATTCCGAGGTCACGCCGTTAAAAGTAACTCCGATTTTCAAAAGTGTTCGGAAAATTAAGAGATATACCGAAAGGTGTGCCAATGAAGTATCACTTTTCCGGTGACAAAGCTGACTGAAAACAAAAAAGAAGGATGACCTAGCGGCCGTCTTATTGAGACACACCTTCCGATATTTTTCTTTTAATTTTTCGGACACTCTTGAAAATCAGAGTTACTTTTAACGTCTTTTTCAGACGTTTTAACGGTGTGACTCTCTTGTGATAACGGAATTCAAACACATGAACCACTTCGGCAAAGAATGAAACATTTGAATATATCTGAGAACGGGCCCAACCACAAGTACTTTTTCCGTACTTTTCCCAATATTATATTGCGGATGATATTTTATACACCCAAACTTTGCCGCTTGACCGGCACGACAAGTAAATGTGAGATTGAGGTTTGTGTAGAGGATAAAAAATTAACTGGAACCACAAGTTTTAAAAGACTGAGGGAGTATAAATTATCATTCACAAATCTATTAATATATAAAAGCAAAAGATTTCTTAGCTACAGTATTCCCGCTGAAAAAGGTCAACATCAATGACTCACTAGGTAATTTTTAATTAAAGGAAAATTAAAATAATTTAATTTTATGGCGAATGCTTATGGACCGAATGCATTTATGAGATGAATGTCCCTATTGGTTAACTGAGAGGTGGTTACTGTAGACTTGGTTCAATTATTAGAAAAAATTGTTTTATGGAATTTGCTGTTGGGTAAATTGGGTGGTGAATACTGTTCATGCAAAAAGTTGATTTGCTGGAGAAGACTCGAGTTGTTCTATTGGCTCTAAAGGGTGGTGAACACTGTATGCACTACTGTTCAACACTTACGGTGTGATTGAATTAAAGCTCAAAAGATATTTATGAAATGGTGAAATTCTATTGGTCTAAACTGGTGGTGGTGTCCTGTAGCACACAGGTTGTTTCCTAACGTGTGGCTATTTAAGGACATTGTGCTTGCATCAAACATCACATTCAAAAATATTATAGCATCAGAAAGAGTTATTTATTTCAAAATGGTTGGATTATGGTCTATGATTCAAGAAATTGATCAAAGTAGAACCACTTGGGCCATTAAGGCCAGAGCAACGAGGGTGTATCGGGAACCCGCCCATGATGGATTTCCTCCATCTTTAGAAATTATATTTCATGATGAAGAGGTGATCTTAACAAATTAAACTCATTTTTACTCGATTTGTGTCCTGTTTTACAATGGGGAATTTTATTTTGACAGGCGTCAAGAATTCATGGACACATCCCTGATCAATTCATTGGCAAGTTTATAAACCTGTTTCGCGAGGGTCGGATTTATGTTGTGAAAAACTTTATGGTTGAGAAAATTTTCATGTTTTTCAAAACAACGACGAGCGCATACAGGCTTCGTTTCTTTAAGAAAAGTGAAGCCTTCGAAATCCAAATCCCATTCCCTTCGAGGACTTTTAATTTAGTGACCTTTGTTGGCTTACAAGCAGCGGAAACTATTGACGACAAAGTTGCAGTCGGTGCGTTTTAAACTGAATTGAATAATATTGTGTACTTTATTGATGGTCGATTAAACGATTAATATAAACAAAACATATGCAGATATTATTGGACAGGTCATCCACCATAAAGATCCAAAGACAATTCTGAAGAATGACCGCCCAAAAAAGCTGATTGAGCTAATCTTAGGGGATACTGAGTACTCTTTAATAACTCAAGTCAATGCACGATTTATTGATCTACTTGATGTTTTACTAATTTTGAAATGTGTTCTTTAAAAGGGGGAATGTAATTGGCTGCACGCTCTGGGGACCGATGGTTGAAATGTTGTTAACTTATAAGTTAACCACGGCTGAACCCATTGTCATGCTTCTTCAATGCTGTCGAGCAAAGAAATATCAGGGTAATATGCATTGAGTTGTTATAATTTTTTTTAAAAATAAATTGTTTAATTATTTCATGCTAACTCATGAAATAATTATTTTCAGGTCAAGTTCACGTATCCAACATGTTCAACATAACTAAGGTTATTCTAAACGGGGTTGAGGATGAGTTTAACGACTTCAGATCAAGGTTTATAATGATTCAACAACAAATTCTTACAAGTGCCACTACATTTTGTGATTGTGAGCTGACCGTTTTTTAACATAGGATGGCTGATAGGTGCGGTGAGGGTCTGAGTTTCATGATTTCTTCTGATACTTCGAACGAGGGTGACATTAGCACCGGCTAGATTCAACTGTTGACAATTGATCAACTCACGCAGATGGAAGAGGTTTGCTTGAAATATAGAGGTTAATATTGTACTGGTGCCTTTAACCCAAATTAACTTTTTTTATACCTTTTGAAGGAGGGTAAGCATTGGGTCTATGGAGAAATAGCAGGAATAGACAGTCACAAGGATTGGTCCTAGGTTTCATGCATAGGATGCAACCGTAAGGTGACCCCAAATGGTGACACTTTTCACTGCTTATCTTGCAATTCTTCAGATGTTGTTCTGAGGTATAGAGTGAACGTAAGGGTTGTCGATAAAACATCGCATGCGTCCTTTCTTCTCTGGGACAGAGAGGTTTCTTGCTTGATAGGACGGTCAGCTTCATCCCTTAAAGAACAAATGTCAAAGGTCCGATTATTATTTAATATTTTTTTCTAATCCCTAAACTTTCATAGATCGATTTGAGCACATCATCATCACTCTTTTTGTGTAGAGGAACTTCGGGTCACATTACTTCCCCGCGGAGATCAATGGGTTAATGGACATTAGGGCTCTGTTTCGCGTTCAAATAAAGAAAGACAGTAGAAACTTCAAGGGTAATCAGAATTTCAGTGTCCTTAGGAAGAATACAGACCCTAAGGTGATTTCCCTTTATGTTCCTGATTCAAGTGCAGAAGAGGTTTGTCATCTAACTTAGAGGACATTTTTCGGAGACTTTGGGTTGAAATAAGCTATGACAATAATTCTTATCTTAACATACAGGAGGATGATGAGTTCACTATGTTGAGGAAAGAGTTTTATGTGGGCGAAAAGGTGTAACCAAAGAGGTTTTCCTATATTTTAATTCAAATCAGACATTGTTTATGTCTATAACTGAATTTGAATTTATGAAATTCAGGTTGCTTCTGCCCAACAGGTTAACTCAAAGAGCCCTTTACTGAACAAAGACAAAAGAATTGCGCTTGAGGTTGATGCAGACAAGGTGAAGAGGGATCTTTTTGGAGAATTTTCATCCACGGTGTCAAAGAAAAGGATGAAGGGCATAAAGATTGAGGAACCTAAATGTTCCAAAAATAACAAGGGTTTTTTATTACCTATTTAAATAAAACGTATGGTAATGTACTATCCTAACCCTGCGTTATGGAGATAAATCTTAGAAGACTAGAAGCTGCAGTATCCTAAGTCAGTGTCTTTTAAGTGTTTTGGATTTTGATTTTTGTTATTGGTTCGCACATTTATACCTAAAGTGTGCTCTCCATGTAACCTAAGCACTACAATATGAATATATGGGCTGGATCTTATGTTTTATAATGTTGTCAACATGAACAAAGAGTACATATTGTAGTTGGGATAAAACTATATTAGCTATAGTTTTTTACTTAACAATGAACATTGCTTTTTGCATAAACGAAAAGCAATGTTCGTAATAAATGCATTCTCCTGATTTTTTACTTTAATGAACATTGTCCCACTAGAAAGAATATGTTACATTTCCAGAAATAGGCCTCAATGGACTGCAGTTATTGTCCTTCAAAAATTAATGTCAGTTTTGAAAATAAAGTTCAACAGTAATTGGAACCAAAACCAGTTAGGATGATTTGATTTAATGGGTATACATTACTTTAAAAAGGGCAATTCACTTCATAAATTGTTTAATGAATTGCAATTGGTGGCCTAAAAAATCTATACCAACTGCAAATAAAATGTTACATATCCGGAAATGGGTATTAGTCTTGGTTAACAGTTTTGAAAAAACATGTGAGATTAAAAATAAATTTTAGACTAATTGGAACCAAATCAAAATAGATAAGTAAAGAGGTGGGTATATGTTGTTTTAAAAAAGGCATTTAACTTCAAAAGTTATTTAATGGACTGCAGTTAGTAAACACCAAAAATATGGATAAGTAAAAAGGACACTAAATTATATATATTTTATAAATTTCATTTTGTTTGATAATTTGATTGTTATGTTTTAAAGGTTTTTAGCACCTATCACTAAAGATGCGAAAATTATTTGGGGGAACTGCAGTATGTTGCCTAACTCAAAGCCAATACAAATCCAAAACAAATTGTTAGGTATGCAAAAAGATGCTAACAATTTGTGTGAACCATTTTTTAGGCAAGTTGAAGACTAACTGGAACCAAATCAAATTAGAGCACGTAAATAAATAATGAGTTATTACAGAGATGAATCTATGTAATAACTCAAAATCATGTAACCTATCCAAAACCTATAACTAATGATGCGAAAATAATTTGGGGGAACTGCAATTTGTTGCCTAACTCAAAGCCTATACGAATCCAAAACAAATTGTTAGCTATTCAAAAATATGCTAACAATTTGTGTAAACAATTTTTAGGCAAATTGAAGACTAATTTGAACCAAATCAGAATAAAGCATGTAAATAAATAATGAGTTATTACAGAGAAAATTCTATGTAATAACTCAAAATCATGTAACCTACGTAACTTCAAAATTTGAATATGGAAACCCACCAAAAAAGTTGTCTGATAGGCATGCTTATAGGTGTGTATCTGCGGATATAAAAAATTTAAACCAAAAGGAGTGCAGCGAAACGTACCTGGGTTCAAACGCGAGCGTGGCAATCCCTAAATCTACCCTATGTCTAATTATTACAACATTTTCAAATTAAATCGCAAGACAAAAACAAAAAAATTACATATTCAGGGAACAAAATGTATGGAACCACCAATGCCGTGCAAGTTTCAACATAAATAGTGTTAGAATACAAACAAATGCAACCACACTGTAATGCAAACTTTTAGAGTACATTAAAATTGATTCTTATATTATTTTTTTGATCAAGGGGTATACACCATCATATATTAAACAGATTAGAATAACAACTCCGTTAACAATGTGTTCAGGTTTAAAATGCATTTTTGGATATCAAATTGTATACCAAATTGTACACCAACTATCACTCCCCTGAATTGCTGCCATATCCAGGGCAATGTGTTCTACTTTGGCAGTTCTTATTAGGGATTTTCCTAATAATAGAATATATGATGCATGTTTAGGGGAATTATATTGTGACAGAGCTAATAATAGATATATCTAAGTAATCCAAGGCAGTTTTGAAAACAATAGAGTTATTTTAATAATACATACAATCAACCAATTAGGAAAATAATATTGAAGTTATATTGTTACAAAGTCAACCTGTTTGAATAAAAGGAAGGGTTAATTTTCTGGCCGTGATATTTAAAAAAATGCATTTTCTGTTATGGGAAATTATTGAATTTATGGAATTAAACACACTTAGGCGAGGTTGTAAGAATCAGCTAGGTTGATTGCAAATATAATATGACGAACCATTAAAAATGTTTGAATTAGGAGAACAACCAAGTAATGTTTTCATTTTTCAAATTTGAAAATGTACAAATAAAAGCTTCATATTAATATTTTGACAGATAGCTTATTCATGATGTGCATAGTTGGATTTCAGATAAAAAAAATTGTAAAGAAAGAACTTAGATAAATTAAATCATATTGGATGGGAGAAGATATTGTGCAGAGATTTTTTCTAATCAAAGTACAGATTTTTTTAACCTTACCGTGTGCTTATGGATTTGTCAGGTTTAGTGTGCGGTAAAAGAGTTCCACATAAACTTTGAAAAGGAAAATTATTACTATGCCAGGTGAAATCCACTATAAAGAATGACAATTGGTTACTTTTTGCGGTAAAACAGTGTTTAAGATATGTTCTTATGTGAGTTTTCTGCTGAGTGGGTTTAATGAGTAGATTTTATTGTTCAAAATCTGAAAATATTATTTGTGTCATTGATTATGAAGATCTATGGATTATGGAGAGCCATTCAAGCGACCCTTGATAATATAATATAAATAACACAAGCATTAAGAGCTATACCATCAGAGGCATTCTTACAGCTCTTCTGCACATCCGTGGTTAACCATCTTCTTCTAGGCTACTTAATTTTTTTACAGAGTAAAGGTGAACTGTTGAGGTGAGTAACATAATCAATGTTACTTACACATAATTGCCCCTCTTTTGTTCTGTTCTCTATGAAAAATGAGCCTGTGGCTTTCATTCTCAATCAAAATTTCTTATTAAAGTTATAATTTCGACATTTTATTATTGATTCCTAATTTTGATTTGGCTACAGTTATATATGTGAGTTAATTTCTTTAAAACAAACTTTTGACACGCAAATTAGTCTCAAGTAAAATAACACAACACACATATGTTCAACACTGATTGAATGCACTAGTACAAAAAAGACTTTTCATATCAGTAGCATTTTTACTAGACTCAAAAACAGGTGCAACGACATCAAGAGCATTCACTGGGGCACAATGATTTGCAACCAAAACCTGTGTGTTGTTATGGTTTGACATCAAAGGTTTGATTGCCCGAGGGCATATCGCCTTGGTGTGGCCAAACCGAGAGCAAATCAGACAGTAAGTAGGTAAATTTTCATACACTAAATTCTGGAAAAAACCTGATTCTCCATTTCCAATCCATATTTTTTGTGGCAGATCAAGGGAAGTATCCAATTCAACACATAATCTCGTTGTGGATGGTCTGGAGAAGTTGGTTGTGGGAGCATCCAATCTGATGGGTTTCCCCAGGAGCAAACCTATGGAGTATAGGGCCGTTAAATCGTGTAGGTGGATCGGTAGTCCCTCAAGGGAGATCCAGACCGGGGCCAGAGGGGCGTCGCGATCGACGAGAAACTGGGTGTCCATCTGGTTACTACCATTTGGTACCCAAAGAACTCCCATGATTTTTTCTCCCAAAATCGTTGAAAGTCAATATCTGATTTGAAATTAAGAAGAACAACGTTCGATTTAAGCTGTCCAACCGAATAGGGTTCTAAGAATCGTAAGTTTTCGAAAGCTTTGCGAATCGAATGGATAGGGGGGCGACCCAGAGGAAATGTACCAACCAAAGCATATTTGAAAGGATCGGATAGAACCTGTATATCGTCGCCGGAGAAGGAGACCGACGGGAAGCCGCGGAAAATTCCAGACGTACCCAGGTGAGATGCGCCTGAAAAAGAGCATTGTTGGGTGTGCAGACGTCGACCGGGGATTGGTCCCTTACCGCCGCCGCATAAGAGATTTTGCTCAGTGATTTATTTGGGTCAATGCCTTCCACCGGCGGCATGACTGCCGCACTGGCTTCAGGCCTTGCGAGGAAGACGATGCGCAGGTCTAGAGAGAAGGCGGAGCGTCTCGCTCATCCGTTCTACTTCTACGGATCTTATAAAATCCAAATTAATCGACATCGGGTTATAAGCTATAACCCATCTGGAATAATCGTTGATATTTTTTAAAGTTCCACATCGTTCATAACCGTTGTTATTATCATTTCCATTAATTCTAAAAAGTACACCGTTTTTCTTTTTCACATCGGGTCCATTGACAACCGATGTAGACTATTTTATAAAATTATAAAATATACCCGTGAACATATTTAACATCGGTTAAAATTACAACCGATGTCAATATATTTATAATAATTGTAAAAAAGACCCCGCGTCACTATTTCACATGAGGTAAGACAACACATGTAGAAAACATGATGTTAAAAGGTCTTTTTGTACTAGTGATGAGAGTACATGCTATTTCCTAATAAATGAAAATATTTAGCGAGCAAACCAAATGATTAAAGCATTGATGCTAAAATGTACTTTGTGTTTTGTATTAAAGGTCATAACACTTTTTGATGAACATGTATCAACCTAGCATAGTAAAATTACAGTTAAAATCTACATATTCTATTTTCCTTTTAAAATGTCTTATACTATTTCATACATCATGGTGTGTTGATATTTGTGTGGCAAACAGAGGAATGGGAACTGAGCATTGCCTAACTGATTTTGGTGGAGGTGTTGAAAGCGGCGGTGTTATAAAGCAGTGCGAAATATGTTTTCTTATGGGTCACGGGGTAGACATGCATACAATTCCGGGTAGTAATATTTGGATTTGTACTTGGTGTAATGCTGAATATCAGCTTGATTTTCTCCACCAAGGCACACCTCCAACGCTGATCTCACCGGCAGTTCTCTCACGGATGTATAGAGATCATGATCTCCGGTGGTTCTTAGGATCTGTTGGGGAGAGTTTGGGGTCGACCTCGGTTGGGGTAAGGGATGAGCTCGTCTTGCGACGTTCTACACGCACTGTCTATTTTAACGGGCGTTACTTTAACGGGGAATTTGTTGTAGACTTAGACTTTGGTTGGCTATCTAAATCAGGCTGATCTATAGTAATATGTAGTTAAGGAAGACGGTGGCTAATAA